AAAAATGGAGAAAAAAATGGGGAAAAAATGGCCAAAAATGGGGGGAAATGGGAAAAAAAAATGGGGAAAAATGGGGGAAATTGGGGAAAAAATGGGGGAAAAAGAGGGGGAAAAATTGGTTTAAAAAAGATAAAAATGGGATAAAACCTGGCAGAAAAATGGGAATAAATTAATTAAAAATGGGGTTAAAAATTGATTAAAAATTGGATTAAATGGATGGAAAATAAAGTGAGAATTTGGTTGAGAATTGGGTTAAATTAATTAAAAATTGGATTAAAAATCTGATTTAAAATGGAGTAAAAATTGATTAAAAATTCGATTAACTCACTTTAAAATGGGATAAAAAATGGATTAAAAATTGGTGTAAAAATGGGATGAAAAATTGATTAAAAAATCGATTAAATCAGTTTAAAATGGGATTAAAAATGGATTAAAAGTCTGATTTATTGGATTTAAAAGGGAGCAAAAAATTGATCAAAAATTCGATTAAATGAGTTTAAAATGGATTAAAAATCGAATAAAAATGGAATAAAAAGGGAGCAAAAAATTGATTAAAAATTGGATTAAATCAGTTTAAAATGGGATTAAAAATGGATTAAAAATCTGATTTAAAAGGATAAAAGGATTGGATAAAAATGGGATTAAATTAATTTAAAATGGGATTAAAAATGGATTAAAAGCAGAGTGAAAAATTGATTAAAAATTGGATTAAATCAGTTTAAAATGGGATTAAAAATGGATTAAAAATCTGATTTAAAGTGGAGTAAAAATTGATTAAAAATTGGATTAAATCGGTTTAAAATGGGATTAAAAATGAATTAAAAATGGACTAAAAAACGGATTAAAAATGGGATGAAATGAATTAAAATTGGGATTAAAAAATGAATTAAAAATTTGGAATTTTTCTTTTTTTTTTTCCTCAGAACCCGGAGCAGTCGGACGAGGACGAGGAGAAAAGCAGGAGGGACTCGGAAGGTTTGGGGCAAATTCGGGAAAATTTGGGAAAATTTGGGGGAAAATTGGAATTTTTTATGATTTTGGGGGATTTTTTGGGGAATTTTTGGGATTTTTTGGGAATTTTTGGGATTTTTTTGGGAATTTTTTGGGGAAATTTTTGGGGAATTTTTGGGGAATTTTGGGGGATTTTTTTGGAATTTTTGGGGATTTTTTGGGGATTTTTTTGGAATTTTTGGGGATTTTTTGGGGAAATTTTTGGGGATTTTTTGGGGAATTTGGGGGGGGAATTTTTGGGGATTTTTGGGGGAATTTTGGGGGAATTTTNGATTTTTGGGTCAAATTTTGCAGATTTTGGTTCAAATTTTTTTTTATTTTTATTTTTTAAATTTTCTCTTTTTTTCCCCTTTTTAGTTGCGATTTTTTTCCCTTTTTTTTTGTTTTTTTAACCAAAATTTTTGTGATTTTTGGGTCAAATTTTGCAGATTTTGGTTCAATTTTTTTTTTTTTTAATTTTTAATTTTAATAAATTTATTTTTAATTTTAATTTTTTTTTTTCCAGGTTCTGGTTCCTCCTCCGGGGCCGAGGACGACGCCGGGAATTTCCTGAAACGTCGGGAGGAGCCCAGGGGGCGCTACAAGGTGGGGAAAAATGGGGGGAAAAATGGGAATTTTGGGCAAAAAAAAAATAGGGAAAAATGGGGAAAAATGAGGGGAAAAATTGGGAAAAAATGGGGAAAAAATTGGGGGAAAATTGGGAAAAAATGGGGAAAAAAATGGGGAAAAATGAGAAAAAATTGGGAAAAAAATTGGAATAAAATGGGGGAAAAATGGGAGAAAAATGAGAAAAAATTGGGAAAAAATTGGAATAAAATGGGGGAAAATTGAGAAAAAAATTGGAAAAAAATTGGAATAAAATGGGAAAAAAATGGGGAAAAATGAGAAAAAATTGGGAAAAAATTGGAAGAAAATGGGGAAAAAATGGGAGAAAATTGGGGGGAAAATGGGAAAAAATGGGAAAAAACATGAGAAAAATTGGAATAAAATGGGGGAAAAATGGGAAAAAATTGGAATAAAATGGGGGAAAAATTGGGGGAAAATTGAGGAAAAAAATTGGGGAAAATTGGGAAGAAAATGGGAAAAAAATGAGAAAAAATTGGAATAAAATGGGGAAAAAATGGGAAAAAATTGGGGAAAAATTGGGAATAAAATGAGAAAAAAATAAGAAAAAATTGGAAAAAAAATGGGATAAAATTGGAATAAAATGGGGGAAAATTGAGAAAAAATTGGAAAAAATTGGAATAAAATGGGAAAAAAATGGGGAAAAAATTGGAAGAAAATGGGGAAAAAATGGGAGAAAATTGGAGGAAAAATGGGAAAAAATTGGAAGAAAATGGGGGAAAATTG